GTCGGGAGCCTAAACCTGGGAACGGCTCCCAGAGTCGGGAGCCTAAACCTGGGAACGGCTCCCAGAGTCGGGAGCCTAAACCTGGGAACGGCTCCCAGAGTTAAGAGCCTGAATCTACCAGACCAATAAATTCCTGACCTTTAAAATATATATTTAAAAATATCTAACAGATTGATCAGAAAAATAACAGTTAAATGAATGGATTGCTTACTATGTTAGCAATCCACTCATTGTTCTGTGGCTGCTCTGGCGGCGTGTTGAGGGGCGGCCTCCATCTAATGGTGGTGCAGCTGCTCTTGCGGCGCGCTGACTGCGTCTTTGTCGCCCTTCCTTAGAGCTGGCTGGGTGGACTGCTGGAGCGTGCCAAACTTCCTGCTCATCATCGACTACACCTGGCACCCGATTTATCCCCAGAAGGCAGACGAACAGCTCAAACAGTCATGTAAGCACTCTGCTGTTACGTCTCACTGTTTCCATGGTTTCGCCGTCTGCTAACCTCTGCGTGCATCGACCCCCAGTCTCTGAGATGGAGGAGTCCATGCTGTCGGCCCTGCGGCCCCCGGAGCAGAGCTCGGCTCCGCGCTACACCTCCAGCTCCGCTTCGGCCGCTCACAGCCGGGCCCCCGCCGACCCATCGGAGCTGCCCCCCGACAGACTTCACGTGGAGATGGAGATTTCCCCGGATTCTCAAGTTCTTCTCTACGGGCCGATGCTGCGAGCCCTGCTGGCCATCAAGGTCTGCGGTACCGCTCAGCCTGGAACGTCTCCGTCCGCCGAGCTGCTTCCTGAACTCGTCCTGCTCTTCTTCCCACAGGAAAACTACTTTGGGGAAGACGACATGTACACGGACTTCGAGGAGGCAGTCTCCAGCCCGGTTCTGTCCACGGCGACGTCCTCGGGCCTCGGCTGGATGGATGACGGCGAGCAGAAGGACGGCTCAGACGCCCACCCTCTGGACCTGCGTCCCTGGGACATCACGGTGCTCATCAACCTCTACAAAGTCCACGGCCGGCTGCCGGTGGTGAGCAACGTTCCCGTTTACCTCTGCACGAAGTTTTGTAGTGATTTCTGTAACATCGACCCGATCCGCTGCTCGATTCTTCCAGCACTGCAGCAGCGAAGGTCCTGAAGGCCCGTCTGGCTTCCTGGAGCGGCTCTGCTTTGAAATGAAGAAGGGTTACAAGGAAACGATGCTGCAGATGATCCTGTCGTCAGTGACAACTACCAGGTACCCGATCGGGCAGAGAGCTGCATTCATAAAAAGTTCAACCAGTATTTTCACAGTTTGCTATTATTTTCCCATTTCACTTTTTCAAAAACCAGTTACAGTTCTGGGTCAAACAGCGTTTTTATTAGTCCCATCACAGACCACAGACCCAGAAATGAGGGGTTAACACTAGGAGTCCCAGAATTCTGGTCCTGCTAGAACTCCCACTGGCCGTTAGTTTGACGGCTGACATTTTTCCCAATGGAACGCATGACTAGTGATGATGTCATCAACTGACATGGTTCTAGTGTGCGATATAAACCCATTGTGGATATGTACCCCTTAAAACAGGTCTAATATTTGAAAGGCTTTATTGTGTGCTATTATTATTTGTGGTCTAAATTTGTATTAAAAAAACTGTAAAATAAGAGTTTTGGTACAGAGTTTCAAAGTTTGAAATTACAATTTTATTTACAGAAATTAATTGATTCCCTCCTGAACATTTTCCCCATAACCACCTTTTCATATTACGACAAACACCATATGAGCGTTTTTTTTTTTTTGTAGTGCAGCGCTAAAGCACCTGCCGCTGTTTTCTTTGCCCCTCGCCAAAGCTGCTCTACTGCGGGGGAGGGGCTGGTAACCTGCGGTTTGCACGCAACTGTTTTTCCAGTTCAAGGATAAAATCTCTGCATCTGACGATGACGTTCAAACAGCTCCTCAACAAAACCATATGGTTCCTGTTTGGACACCACCCTGGAGAGAAATATCAGCTTTATTTATAGATGTTGAAGATCGGCCTGTTTTCCAGTGTCCTGTTTCTCTGACTTACTGGATGGATGTGCTCTCTTCATCCTCTGACACGATGGCTGGCTCAGAGCT